GAATCATTCCCTGGAAGTTTATTCTACTGTCTTAAATGAACGTCAAACGAATATTTACCTCTTCAGATTGTATACGTTAATAAAAGAAAGTAATTTCCTTACAATCAGACTTCCATGTGTCCGTTATTTTAAAAAGTAATCCGTTACACTGTCTTAGGGTAAGAAACAAAACATCAGTGTTATAGAAGCGTTTATTGTTGCGGCAACTCGCATTTTCGTGACCTTGAGCAGCATCTAGCTGTCAAAAAGTCTAATCGGACATCTTGCTTCGTTTCTATGTTAAAATGTCGTCCGCTGCACTAAAAAAAACCTTTTCAGTCCACCTTTTTCAAGATAGGTGCTGCCACCTGGACGAGCAGCTGATAAATGGAGAAAACTAGGGTGCCTTCATGTGCGCTTCGCTTAGGGTGGTGGCATCTCGCCATTTTGTCCCACATGTTTATTTGTATTTTTTGTTCAGAAGCGCGTGAAAGAGCGTGCCCCTGCACGCGTTTGTGGCGCTGACTGTGCTATGGCGACATTTTGTTTTCGTCGATTTCTTTGTATTTTCCCCGTGAGCGCGTGCTGTCGGCATCGGGTAGTACAAATGGTGGCATCAAGGTCACTGAGGCACCCTAGAGAAAACAAGGGGAAAAAGCTGTAAGAACAGCTTGACGGAGGGAGCCCCTTGGTCCCTTGTAGTTCCATATACACAAGTCAAAACAAAGCAACAGCGAAAAACACTGAAAAACCCGACATACCACGGTAAAATACAAAAATCAAACAGCTCTCGTAAATCGATTCATTCGTTTTCGCGTCACATTAGTTCAGTTCGTAATTCCCGAATCGCAATAGAAATAATATCAATGTTATTTTTTTTTTATTAGGGAGTTCAATATAGTAGGAAGCGTGTATTTGGGTGATTGCATTGAATAGTTGTTGTGACACAGTGGCGCAGTCCAATGTTCCACCGACCGTGTTGGGTAGGAAGTTGAATGTTCTTTTAGCCCCGCAAGGTTTACTTAGCCATCCCCATTTCTTTCATTTTCTAACTTGAAAATGATCGCGAGTCTATACTTGTACACGTTGTAAACAGGGCCCATTACTGTACACACACACACACACACACACACACACATATATATATATATATATATATATATATATATATATATATATATATATATATATATATATATATATATATATATATATATATATAGTTGTAAGAAACATCTCAATGAGGTGCACATTTTGTTTTCAGCAGGTTATTTTTTTTTTTCTTTTTTTAGATTTGTGCGGGTGGTGGTTCCCCAGATTGGATGACAATAACTCAGACTAATCCAATGACCTTTGACAATCTAGTGCGTAAGTCATTTACGTGATTTTCCCGAGTTAAGTAGTGACTGAAAATTACACCTAAACTCTTAATATTATCTACAATATCTATAGACGCTTTGCAGCAGCTGTGCATGGGCACCGCCATAACTGACCTTCAGTTTTTGTTTCCCCTTATTACGTTTACTTTACTTCATTATTATTATAGCAGGCTAGGTTATTGACATCTTAGATTTTATTATGTCTTTCTCCCCACCACTGGCTTTTGTGGAGGCTCGTCTACACCAATTTTAGTGCCTCGGTATCTCGGTAAAACAATAGAAGGTCAGCAATGGCGGCTGTATTCTGGCGCGTGTGAAAAAGCGTCTACGTCTATATCCCTTGCATTTAAGACAGGGGTCTTACTTGTAGAAACATTTTTGTATTTAGGCCGAATGATGATTGCCTTCGTCTTCCTCGCATTGATGTTTAGCGCGTTAGAACCACGTTTGCGCAGCTGATAAGCTCGTCGCCAGTCTCGCCAGAAAAGAAGAGGCTCGTGTCATCCGCGTATATTGCGAATTTAGTCGGTGGATTCATATCTTCAATATCATTAATGTATATATTAAACAGTTATGGCCTTAAGATGCTTCCATGTGGTACACCCGATATAATTGTCTTTGTCGAACAAACTGTTTACGGTCACCTAAATATTATTTAAGCAACAAAAGTGCTTGACCTCGAATTCCGTAAATATCGAACTTTTCTAGCAGTAAATTGTGACTCATATAATCAAACGCCTTTGTAAAATCTACAAAAATGACCAGTGCCAATTTCTGTCTCTCAAAACTCCGTAAAATGAATTATTTTTGTTCGAACAATGCAAGTTTTGTAGACCGATTTTTCGGAAAGCCGACTTGAGCATCAGTTATTATTTGGTGCTTATCCAAAGACTGAGATATACGAATGTGTATATTTTTTTCTAAGCCTTTTGAGAATACGGGAAGGACAGAGATAGGCCTGTAATAGCTTATGTCGTTTTTATCTCCCTTTTTGTACAGTACAGACACTTTAACTGTTTGCATGAGTTGCGGAAGCACACCGATTGAAAGACACAAGTTAAAAATATAAGACAGGGAGTGATCAAAGCTAAAACATACTTGACTGGTCTAATCTGCAAATCATCCGCATCAATGACTGTGTCAATAACTAAACGTAAAAAAAAAAGTCGCTGGTTTTTAAAGTGACATTCTTACATGCGTCGCCGCTATAACTACGTTGAAGTAAATTTACAAAATAGTCATTAAATTCATCTGCTAAAGATGTGCCAGTTAACTTGACGCCGGCAGAAGAAATGCCTTCTATGTCATTGGACCGCTTACCACGCCCGACCACCACATGTAAATTTTTCCACATAAGATCACTGCGGCCCACTGAAGATCTAAAAGATTCATGAGGGTAACGCGTCCTTGCCTTTTTCAACTCTTTTGTTAGTTGATTACGATAATTTTTATATGTCTCGATGTCAGTGGGATCCTTAGTCTTCGTAAATTTTTTATAGAGAGCGTTTTTAATATTTATTCTTTCGGGTAAGTCAACCGTTACCCAAGGTTTCCGAACCCGCTTTTTTACTTTAATTAATTTGAAAAATCGACACTGTAAAGGCTTTTAAAGCGCGTCAAAAACAAACTGTACGCCTCCGTCGGGGTCTCCATTTTCGAAAACGTCATCCCAGTTTGGGTTAGCTACATTCTGCGCGAACCTCTCCAAACCGTCCGGCGTAATCACTGCGGACTGACACTTGTTTCTTAATACAGCTGGTTTTAACACACATGAAAATAGGAAGATGATCGCCAAGATCATAACTTATTACTCCAGATCAACGTTTCTGAAGTAACGTTTTCACTAGTTGGTAAACTGATTACGATCCGACAACCATTCATGATTATTAAATTCTCTATTTCTCTTTTTTTTTTAATTAAACACCATTATTTAGCATGCTCACGTTAAAATCACCACCACATATAAGGTTGAGCTTATTTTCATTTGATAACTCAAAAAGAGCAGCTCAGAAATCCAAACAGGGAGTCAAAACGCCACTGGGAGGTCGATAAATGACAGGGACAATAGAGAATTTTGGTAGATCGTTCCCATGACTCCGATAACGATACCCGATACTCCGCCACCGCCCCCCTTGCGCATGCATAGTGTCGTTATCGGGGTTATCGGAGGTATCGGAACGATCTACTAAAACTCTATATTATTGTGCTTAGTTCGCAGGGACAAAGCTTCATAGTCCTTAGTGATTACGCAAAACGTAGGCAATAATTCACACTCAATGTTTCCCTTAATCACAATTGACCCCCCCCCCCCCCCCCCCTCGGTTTTCAGTACGATTGAGAAAAAAAAAATCGTATAACGGTAGCCTAAAAACGTCAGTATATTCCGTGTACCATGTCTCGAAAAACATGATAATGTCAAAATCAACGAATTCAGCAAAATCCAAATCCAAAGCCGATTCAAGCCGGACATGCTTCAACTCACACTGCTTCAACAGCACCGCGCGGCCGCGCGTGTGCAATTCAGCAGTCAAAAGGAGATGACGGTCACGGATGGCACGTGCTCTTACAACAACGACATGGCTGGACATGACGAACCATGGGGAGGATCGTATGCACTGTGATCGTATGAGGCTCCTGGCATCGTGACCACAGGAGTGACCGGTCCAATACCCCAAGGTCTTGAGCGTGATGTCGTTGGAAGGCGAGCAGGGCTCTCCTTCGAAGGAGGCAGCCGGGACGCCATCATCCAGCCTTCCCGACAAAAAGATGTCTGCTAGGTTCGACAAATTCTTGCTGTGCCGCTTGATGTATCGCTTCCACTGCGCGTTGAAGGCACGCCTTACCGCAGACACTGTCTTGGGCAGATCACTGTCCGACCTTGAGACGGTCACAAGAGTACAAAGGTAAGCGAAAGGGACCTTGAAGAGCTGGCACATCCCTCGTTTCTTGCCGATGTTTGCGGGTAACATACCGCAAAATCCGGCCTCAAAAAATATAAAACTTTTTATGTTATTTAAAAGACATCCACTGGGAGGTTGTCCATACATAGCTTGTACTGACTTCAAATCAGGGGTCAGTTACCATTGTGATGACCTTGCCGCTAAGCGCGTGCCTTCTGCAGGCTGCAGCAGACGTCATGACACCATCGAATTTGTTCATTCTTCTCGGCACCAGCGCCGATATGTTTTGGTGGTGCCCTCTTGCGGTTCCAATCCGTGACGTCACGACCAGGATTTGTGATTCGTCTCACAATGACGTCACGAGTTGTGACCCTAGCTACTTATCAACAGTTGCGATCCGCAAGTTCGACGGTACTTGTCTGAAAGCTTGTAGTAATTGCGTGCAATGTTTAGTCACAAAAAGGCCACCCATTACTAATGATTATTTTGTGTAATACTCTTATTCAAGTCCCCTGTTGCTGCTGGGTTCACGCTTATGGCAAGCTTATAACGCTTTCGCTAGAGCCTACATTTCGCATAAACAAATAGAGCGTCGTTTTTGGCAGACCAGGCGTGAACAACGAACTCAAATACTGGCGTCCGCTGAGCGCGTTGCTTTGACCTCATGGCGCTGATGTCCGCGCGGCGCGTGCGAAATCACTTCATGCAATTCGGGTTTCTGCGCGCACGCGGTGCCGAACTTGTTTGCCAACAGAATATTTTGGTGTATGTTGATGCCACACAGTATACAGTTCTTCCCATAACTTTTCTGTACACACTTTCACACGATGGTTTGCAGGGAATTCATGCTGTACGTCTTGCTGGTGCTGATGACGCTGTCGTTCTTGATCGGCGTTTTCGGAAGGCATATGAGCAACCTTCTGTGCGTCCCATATCCGACGGTTGTTTCCCTGATCTGCGTCGATTCCAACGTTAAACAGCGTTACGTCAAGTGGATTACGTACTGGATCATTTTTGGTTTTGTCAACTTGGCGGATATGATGTGCCCTGTGATGTCCAAGGTATGTTATGTTGGAGTGAGAAATGTGGCAGTCGGCGGGTTAAACAAGAGTGTGCGATATACCGTTACCACAAACACGACATACGCGCTTTTTTAAAATTTTGTTTAGATTGATTATTAACGGGCACAAGTCTTTTACCGCCTGTGTTAGTGCCCCGATGGAGGGTTCAGCGCCACGGTCTTCGAGCAGCTGTTAACTAAACTAAAAAAAAAGGCGATTGTTTGTTGGTGCTGTCAGTGTCGCGCTAACAGTGGTATACATGCACAGAAACCGATTTCTATTCAGTTATTATAAGAAAACGCAATGTGACTGATAACTAGGTTGAACAAGCACTTTGTATCATCCTTTTAAAAGCCTGACTAAATTCTGCTTATATTTTGGGGAAAATTATGGTTTTCTTTTGACATGGACAGTAGACCCTTTTCAAAAGTCGGTGTATCGAGCATAAAATAATTAATAAACAAAGTCAGCAATTTTTTTTTATCTCTTGTAAAGCCTATTAGTGATACTTTTACCTCTTTCACACAAATTACTGCTTTATTCTATGTTCCAGTCAGGTCATACCAAAAACGTAACCAGAATTTTTTTTTTTTTTTTTTTTTTTTTTGGGGGGGGGGGGGGGGGGGTCTTGCTATCCAATTCGCACTGTCATCTATTTAAAGGGCCATGTAATTATAAAATGTAAATGGCCATTTCCTACTCTGCCCACGATATGGGAAATACATGTCATTCCATCCAATGGCATATGCTTTGGGCATATTCCAGTCAAAGCATATAGAGTATACGCAGAACATATATTGTGCAGCATAAACATATATAGAGCCCCTTTTGCTCGCCGTATATGCTGTCAGCTTTGGTTCGTGTGTCTTTATTAAGAAACATTATGAATGGTACCGCTCATACATCATACAAAAGACAGTTTCGAGCATGGCTGCAGACAGTTTTTGGTCGACCAGCGGTGTAGTGTTTAGAGCGTTTACAAAAGCAGGTAAACAAGCCTGGGGGGAACTTCCAAAATGGCGTGAATCGTTAATAAACAGTTGTCGCAGCTGGCATGTAGTAATCTGGGAACATCGGCGTGTACAACACCACTAAATGGAACCGTTGGTCAAGCAAGAAACACAGACAGTGTCTCCACACTGTCTGTTGTGCGGTGTATGAGGAGTGTGACCGAGGCTTTCGAGGTAGAGAACCACGAGCGTCATCTGAGAGCATCGCGTACATTAAGATTACCTGTTCTAATTGCAATCTCTTCTAGCTACTACCTCAGTTTCACCTGTGGAGAACGCTGTTTCTCGCCTGGTGTTTCTGTCCGTACGAGTGGAACGGCTGCCGGGTCGTTCGTGACGCCCTCTTCAGCAGCAGGAACATGAGGATCCTGAGGATCGGCTCCTACGTCGGCTACGAGGCATTCAGAGTTGTCACAGTACACTGATTGTTCACATAAACTCTACGGATCTGCCAGCTGCAAAATGAATATAAAAAGGAGAAAGAGTGACAACACATGCTAGCTATGTGTAATACATACGTGTACTGTCTTTTTGCTCATCATGTCAGGGGAAGCTCCCCAACCTCTTTCCATGCACTAGCGGATGCTGGAGAGGAGGTCGCCTCCTCTAGCGTTCGCTCAAGTTGGTCGTTCCTAAATAGCGTATGTATTCACCCCAGTCACGAGTCAGTAAATAACCATTCGTCAATTGCCCACCACTCAAATAAGTTTTTTTTTTATTCATTTAAACTATATTGCTTTGACTCGCACACGTTAGCCGTTGCAAAAATGGTTACATATGGGTGTTTTCATCTCAAATCGGGCAGGCTAAAACGGTCTAATTTTTAATTTTCACGAAAAAAATATATGTTTTGGGGGCATTTCTCAAATGAAGAAGGGCGCAAACCGCATGTTCCCCAGATTTTTTTGTTCTCGAGTTACGAGCCGTAGAAGCCGCAGTGGCAGAAACTATTGTTTTTGCCTGCCGTCGCAGGTCGCGTGTTTGACACCCTCGGCTGGCGCTAGTGTTTATAGGCATTACAAAAATACCTTGACGTATTCAAATATTTTTAGGGATTTAATTGTTTTCTCAGAAAAACATGCCAAACTCGTCACTCCCGTTGCTTTTTGGCCAACTTCGACAGGTCATTACTTTAAAGCCCATTATAGATATAATAATATCATTATGATCTGTCGACTAGTTGCTCCGCTACCTTCACGTAAACGTTGTAAGAAATAACAAATGTTAAAAGTTTGAGGTCAATTTTCTCAAAAACCCCATTTTTGTAAATTTTTATTTTTTCAATTATTTAGACATATCAGTCTAATGTTATTCTAATGTAATTTAGAAATGTAATATGTTGGTTGTATGTCCTCTGTCTGAGCCGCAATCGCGTGAAATGTGTGAACATTTGTTATTTTTCACGTTTGCGTGAAGGTAGCGGAGCGGCTACTCAGCAGATCATAATGATATTACTATATCTATACCAGACATGCTTAGGGGTTTCTATAGAGCTAAAGAAATAAAATGTACCTTAAAGGGGTACTCCGACGATTTCTTCATGGTCCCCGATTTGCTTGAAATTTTGCTGCGCTCACCAAACAACATCGCTAAAATAGTATCCCAAATATTAGGTCAAAATAATTTTTTTTTCACGAAGTTATTAAATTTACAGTTTTGGTTCTCACCGTGTGTTTCAAACTGAAAGTCACTATTGGCAACAATGAAAAAGTGACGTCAGTGGAAGGCAGGGGTTCACTTTTTGGACTGTGGAAGTCGTTCCCAACCACTGATGGTTAATATAGTACATAATTCGTCAATTCTTGACCGGTATCCAAGCGTGCGAAGGCACAAAGATGCATCACTCGGCGTGCCAAGGAAGCTTTGATCACGCCGCGACACCGGCGACACGTTTTCGACGAGTTGTACCTTTTGATACGGCTTCACGCACATTGCACTCGCTAAACACATTCACACGGCGTCGGTTCTTGGTCGGTATCCAAGCGCGCGAAGGCACAGAGACACGGCACTTCGGCGTGCCAAGGAAGCTTTGAACACGCCGCCAGCCCTTCCTTTCGACGCGTTGTGCCTTTTTCCTGCGACACTGCACTTTCGTAAAATTTTCCACGTATTCACAACGGCAAGTCTCAACAATACACAGAGTCTTCAAAAAACTTCTTCGGCGAATGACGACGAACGAGTAGCAAACGTGTCGTCAGCACGCTGGAAAACCGCAGCAAAGGCTAGCAAAAACGGCAAATCGTATCCCAAGCGAGTGAAGCCCGGTGGCTTCACTTGCGGGAGCGGCAAGCGCGATCCAGCAATTGTCATTGAGATCAGTGTTCCCAACTGATTCGAAGCAGTTTTATGGTGTCAAATGAACGCTTTGGAAGCTCGCTCCAGTCCGCGCGCTCCAACACGGAACTAATGATTGGCATATTCTATTTGTTAGACTGCTCGCTCGATTGGCAAGCCGGCCCGCCACTGACGTCACGGCACTGAAAAGTGCGGGAATATTTGAATGTTGGGTTTTGCATCATTTTCATTTGCCGATTTCATAATAACTATTATGAATTTCGCGATACTAAATAGCATACCAGAAAGGGTAAAGGCCGGGGAGTCAGAAAATATAGTTAGTTGAGGTAGCTAAAAAGTCGCCGGAGTTTAAAGGGATACTACAACGAAATTTCGGCGCTCATTTTTTGGTCTATATGTGTTCAAAAAAGCACCATCAAATTGAACATACCAATATCTCGTTAAAAAAGTCACGAAAAGGAATTTTAAAACGAATTAAACGATTAGCAAAGAGCACCTGGTGGATGTCGCTAACGCCTCGCTTGTAACGCCCGTCTAGCAACCTTGGCAGCTAGTGACGGAGGTTGTCTCGAATCCGGCCACGACGAGAGAAGAGGGGCAGGAGGAACTCCCCTCTTCCCGAGAATACCTTTTGTGTGTCGCAGAAGTCGCTATAGACCATTTGCAGTCCTCCCAAGCGCCCCGGCGCGCGCGCGAGGAATCTTGGGATCGGTGTTCTGTCGGCCCCCGTCGTCTGGCTGCTCTCCGTTGGAATCGCATCACCTCGCTCTAGACATACTTTTCATCTTCGTTGTTTATACTTAATAATCCTCTTTTTTATCTACTCCAGTGTATTTTTCTTGTTCATAAGTGTATCTATTTCGTTCAGCGCTTTGTATTTCTTCTGTATATTACGTGTTTTTGTGCATATTCCATCGTTTTCGACGCGGCCGTCGACGGACACCACGCCGCTTCGTTCGCCGCTCCCGGGGTGAGTACTGACTGTTGCCGTTACGCTCTATCCCGCTCCTAGGCCGTTCATTTAACTCGTGTGCGGTCGCGAGAGAGCAGTTTCGAACATCACTACAAATGTCACCGCTGTAAGCAGAGAAATAAAGTAGTCATCACGAAGCGAAGGCCGACATGCCTTCGCTTCGTGATGCGCTCGCCCTGTGAAATGTGAGCGTGGGATATCGAGTACTGCTTGCGTGCTCAACATTCGGGACGGTGCTTTGTCGTTGCGATCTTTTTGCCCTTCGGACGCTTGCGAAGCTGTACCAGCGGTCGGCGTGCCTCGGCAGCGCTCGTCAACAACCGTCCGCGCGGCGTCACTTTTCTCGCGTTCGCTGACCGTCCGCGAGCGCCGGTGATTCATCGTCGCGGCTGGTATGCGTATGTAGTACATCGCATAGCTTCACAATCGCTCTTAACAGCGGTTGTGAGTTGAGCGGGCCCTTAGCAAGCGAGTTATGTCAGCAACTGCAACTTTGAAACTGATGGTCACTTCACTTATTTATTTCACTATTCGAGATGTCAGCTGAATGTAGTATCTTCTTAGGTCACCCTCAGAAGCCACATGACGGGCGGTACAACCTGCTGTGTACCGGGCTGTGCCCACACCACTCTCACTGCCAAGCATGTGTCCTGGAATCGCTTTCCGAAGAACAGCCATCTACGCAACATTTGGGTACAGCGAATCAACAGGAAAGGTATTTACCATATTTTTTTACTTGTTATCTACACTTTCCTGACAATGATCAGGAAGGTACAGTGTGTGTACTGTCCGACGTGGCCCAAGTCATTTTACCCATATGTACAACATACCTGCGAAACACATTTTTTTTAAAAATAAAAATAGCATTCATTATTTTTGACCTATAAGTGCAACATACGACTGAAACAAAAAAGACAATCTCAAAGAATCCCAGATGTTGCATGTGCCCTTTTCACTCTCTTGGCCACTTCCACCTGCACCGACATACCAATATTTGATTGCATCGCAGGAATGTCGCTTCATCTCACTACCCTACAGCTAAAGCAAAGATACTCTCACAGTGCTTCTATCATTTTCAGCGTGCATCCACTCCAGGTTTGTTAGGCATAAACTATGTGCTTGTTCTTAGTGCCCGCTGCACAATGGTACTGGAAGTGTTTAGAAGGCGGTGGGGTGACGATGGGGGAGGAGGAGAACTGAATTCTACCCCCTTGCCCGGATAGTTTACTGACGCCCCTGTTCAGACGCCACGGCTGCTGCATCCATTCTTACCACTGAGATTGAGTTGCACTTGCTCCAAAGTTGAATGGGTGAATCTTAATATGGTGCTAACTGCTTCTTTTGCATGCAGGTACCACTGGACGGTTCTCTCTGTGGACGCCAACCTCTGACAGCAGAATATGCGGCGCTCATTTTAACGAAACTGGGAGAAAGAAGTACGAGGACAAAGCTCCCCGGTTTTTTCCAACCAGGACATTTCCGAAGTGTATGTTATTTGCCTATTTTTGTTTCTTTCTGCAATAGTTGTTTTTCCCTGCTTATATTCTTGCTTGTGATCACTGTATACATGGGTCGTTTCTCACGTGAGCTACGTCACTGCTGGTGGCGTCTGGTGATTTGTGGACAGCGGTGCTACCCAGTGAGCATGGCGAAATACGTGACCTACGGAAGCAATCATCGCTCTCATAGAAAAAGACGGAGCTTCAAGCAATCGTAATGTCAGATTTTGTAGAGCTGCAGACATAATAACAATGTTTTGTCTGAATACATGAGATCTCTCAACGGCTAGACGACGCAAATGGACTGCAATCGAAAAGAGGTTTTGCGACGTGCGGTTAAGTAGCATCAAGGATATCACTGAAACTGAAAAAGTATAACATTCTCGTCCGTCATTAAATTTGCAGTGGGAATAGGTGGCATATAAACCTACTGACTGCCTTTTTCAAGGATTTGGCTTGGCTTAGCTAGCTTGCTGCTCAAGGCACCAGGGGATGTCGCTCTGCTGCCTTCATCTCTGATGGCCCCAAATGACAGCTTTTAATCCAGCTCTCTCGTTGTGGAAAGTAGTGAAGGCTCTGCATGTTTCCTGTCGTACATTGAAGTGCCAGCTCATCTCGACTCTAAATAACAGCAGTGTGTTTGAACGGTACCAGACGATGCTTCTTTATATTTCCGACTGCTCTATCTGACACAGTCGGTCACAATGCAAGAGGACTTCAGCGAGCTGGAAAACACTCTCTTAGCA